TTGTAAGAAATAATAAAGGTGTACAAAACAATTGTTAAATAATAAGGATAGAATTAATCAATTAATTAAACCATAAGCGTAGTTTTATAAATTTTCCCCAAAGATAGGCTTTGAAATAAGTGACCCTTAAAAGGCAGCAATAACAGCAATCATTTAAAACCAGAACCATAGAGATTCCACTCTCTCCATTGGACAATGGACATACAAGCACACAATAACACAAATAAAGAAATAAAAGACATTTTATTTTTCTCTTATGGGCTGTCATTAATGTTTCTGTTTTTCTTTTGTAGAAAGAACCTTATGGGCTGTCATTTTCGTGAATGAATGTAGCGAAAATGGCTGGCTACCTAACCAAACGGTCCAAACCATGTGATATACATATACTAAGCACTCCGAATCTACTTTTCACTGCTCATTGCTGTGGCTAGTGATGCCTTTGGTCATTAGGATTTTTGCTTTGTTCTTTCATAGAATATGGATTTGAGATGAAAAAGTAATGGACCATGGTTGGTTGGTTTTAGGCCGAAGCATTAGTGATTGAATGATCCAAGAGAAGAATAATAAAAAAAATTCCAACTTCACTTCCATTTGTACAATGGGTACCGGCCTTGGTAAGGATAAAAATTTTGATATGATACGTACATGGTTTTTAGTATCAATACACCTCTACTGATACACAAAGGTGTATCGATACTTTGAACCATGCCTCTTGGGTAGTGTTGGGCGTTTTCGGCCGGTAATTTTTCTATAAAAAGAAAATAGCTAAAAGGTCACTCCTGTTTTATTTTTTTCTTGTTTCTCTACAAAGAGTCTGGATCTACTGATCACAGTACACTACTGGCCATGCTAATCCAGCCACAAATAAGGAATATTAGTGATGTAAAGTACTACTAATGTTCTAGATGTGCAATTGGGTGAACGTGACCAGCAATCTGTTGTGGTCAGCAGATCCGACCTCCTCTAAGAAGGGGATAAAAAGCCAATAAAGAAAACAAAAAATTATAGAAGGTAGGAAAAGGTAAAAAAACCTTTACAAACCTTGTATAGATTTCCCTACTTTTTCCTTCAAATAAAGCATAGCCTAAATAAATACTGTGTTTCTTGTGATTGATTGGCTTCATTTTCTAATCAATTCATTTATTCATTTCTTCTTTTCTTATCCTTCATATATTATTATTATTATTATTATTACGCATATGATAATGTTATAGATGATTAAATTTACATTTACGAACCAGTAAGGATATCATAAATCAATTATATAGACATGGTTATACATTTAGGCTCAGTTTGGAAGCAGTACAAATGCAAATATATACAACATAAATACATACAAAATAATACAAAATATAAGCTTTTACACTCTACATATTGGCATTTATACTCCTTCCAAACTCAGCCTTATTGAAAATGAATCTAGAAACCATTTATTGATAAACTCTATATTAGAATCTTACAAGGTTTAAAATATTGAGAGTTCAGGCGTTTTAATGGTTTCAAATGTTGAACTATCCTGCTATAAAAGGTTAAAGAAAATAGTATCACTCCCTTGAAACACTTTTGCATATTGTGTTATCCTGCAAAAAGAACTATTGTCATATGTCATATTAAACCTTGAATCAAAATTGAACTTCTCTCTCTCTCCACATTGTTCTATCCTTTTATATAAGTAGTCTGCTTATGTCAAATCATCCACAGAATAAGATTGTAGCAACCCACCCTCGTTGATTGCAATAATTACGCTCAAATTATTAAAAGATTGAATTGAAAAATTGCTTAAAGAACTATTTGAAACTTAAACTTTATTTTCATGGATGATAGCTTTGATAATTTAGATATTATCCCTATATCAGAATTTATCTATATTCTATTCATAATAATTAATATTATCTGGTTGAAAGTGATGAATCAACCAACGGGCTCTTAGTAAGAAAACCATCATCATCCTACTGTGTTCATCACTGATTGGTTCAATGATTTTGGAGCCAAAAAGTGGTAAACATGGTTAGGTGCTCATGACTTATTCAACAGACACATCCTTATCATATATCATCACTATTTGGTTGGGCAGGATTCTGGTCCCTTTGGAGTGGATTGACATGACTCCTCATTTTTGTTTTTGCTGTTAATTTTGGTTTTCATGGCTTTCGATTGATGAGCAAAATAGGCTATGGCTAAGGGCATAAATAAGAAGTCCTGATCACAAACTAGATAGCCCCACAACCACAAGTTAGTCTAATCTACATCAAAGTCATTCATTGAAACCAAATGGAAAAGGGGAGTTATTTGGGCACACCCCATTTTTGATAAAGGACACATCCCTAAATCCTAATATTTTTTTTTTCAAAGAGTTCATGCATCAAATACAAAAATACCCCCACATACATTTTGATCTGGGTGAGGAGGTTCATAGACTTTTTTTTTTCCATTAGGCATGTGCCCTTAGCACTCCCCAAAAGAAAATAAAAAAATAGGGATAATATTGATTAAATTAATATAAGAACAGGGCTACAATGAGGGTACCCTTTGCTCATGATTTATTTACCATTAGATAGGTTTGATAGATGGAATCATTTGATTGTGTTGATTTTCACTCCAAGTATTATATAGAGAAGGTCACTTCTGGTGGGTCCCTATGCTTTTGTGTACTTAACACGTGGCAGCATAAGATAGCACCTCATTGTAGGGCCCGCTTGCTTTTGACATAAATTAATTAGATTCCCTTGTTGTACTTTTTCTCATTACATATATCTTGTATCTTATTCCATTATTGAGCAAGCAGGGTGGTTTTGCTGGGTTACTGCTCCTTTCTCCCTCAACTGTTCATGCATATTCGATCCCTTTATTCCGAAGTACATCACTTCTTTAATCCGATTGGGAGCCCGAGATATTTCAATTTTCAAGTTTCTGCTCCTAAACAGTAAATCTCAGTCACCATCCTATTTATCTACACTTGTGTATAGAAATTGCATTGGAAAAAACGATAGCCAAACAGCAAAACACTAATGCTCCCTTTATCACGCTGGTCAATTCCGTGCGTACCCCCTACGGCCACGTGGTGGGCGGTTTGGGTTTGCCACATCATCCTTCCACGTGGCAAAAATGGTTAATTAAACCTCCGGGTTGGCCTGAGGGAGGGAGGGATCTGAGGGAAGCTGTTGAAAACTGGGGCTGCCCCATCTCCCAGGCCCTGCTGTTGGTAGTGATAAGTTAGTCTATCCCTTCGTTCTAGGGCCCATGAA